TCATAGGGGCTTTAAGATACCAGTAAAAAGTTAGGTCGCAGGCCAATAAAGTGGAAAACAAGAAGCTTCTCTTAGCTTCGTGATAGTGACCTTTTGCGTGAATTCTTTACCTGTCGAGAGAAATTTAGAATCTTTGGGAAACGAAACTCATTGTTTCTCTTGGGGTCAGTCATTAAATGTTTTACATCCACTCGGATTACTTTGTAAGCAACAAAGTCACTTAAGATAGAAGGCATTGAAATAAAACTAGCGAGTGATAATACAATAAATGTTTTTTTCTTAACCAAGCTTGTGCGGTGAAGATGGCTGGATATTAACCTCGCTCTATTTTCACATTTTCATGGACCTCGGCTTCCTGTAATCGAAATATGCATGAAGTATGTACTTACACCGTCACATGTAAGTAAATTTTCCCGCAGTGAATTAATTTGAACCATAAATAAATACACAAATAGATAAACGAATGAAACGATAAAGAAACAAATGGAGAACAGATACTTTCTCACCAGATTTGCCTTTCGTTGCTTCTGCTCTGGAAGCGCATCATTCTTCAAATCGATAGGTTCGGATAGTTCAGCGTGGAAATCATCTCCGCGTGGTCGTCCAATAATACGGTATCGCACAGAAGATATTCCTTCTCCTTTCACTTCGAGAACGTTTTTTTTAAAGTTCGAATATCTCTCTCCATTACACTGAAGCTTGCCAAGATCTTTCATAAATTCCATCAAGCTGGGGTGAAATGGATCCAAATTCGGCAGACGGCAAGCGGAACTTGAGTTTCCAATGTGTTTCACAAACTTTACTCTAGTCCTTGGAAACGTAGAAGTAGAACCAAAAAATGACGCATAGGCATCGAAATACAGAACGAACCAAATACCACTGGAAACGATCAGCAATATAGAAGCGAAGCGACGCCGTCGCAATTGCACTCGACGGAGAAGCATTTTAATTAAATAGCACGCACTAGACATAATGTTCAGGGCTTGATTCTACTCTCTGTATTCTTGATAAAGGTACTTGTTTCAAAGAACACTGTGTGGTTACCAAGGCGTACACAGTATTCCTTATGCTCACTGCCAGAGGAAAAATAATTTGTCTTACAGGGCGCTCATATGATGACACTTCCTTGCCGGTAGACTGAAGACACTGTACGCCTGTTACAAAATGCTTTTCCTATGATTGGTTGAATGACGAACAACAAAAACCGCAAGAGAGATATGGTAATTCTGCTGACGGATGTAGCCAGGTGCCCGTTTACCGTAATGGGTTTCTGGTCTACAGCGGGATAAAAAAAAAAAAAAAAAAAAAAAAAAAAAGAGAGAGATAGTCGAGAAGACAATTGTTCCATTCCTCGTGTGAATAAGTTAAAAAGAAATTCTGAACTCGAACTGTTATACTATAGAATTTTTTTTCAGCCGTGCTCACTGAAGGAGAAAGTAACAGCAAACTCCGATAAGAAATTTGCATTCGCCGAATGACGAAATAAGACGTAACTCTCATATTGACACACAGGTGCGGTCAACGGACGAGAGCAAACGCACGGAACTATCGTGTTAATTTACTTCCCCTACGAAAATCGAGAGATGTTTTGATTGAGTTTGCTTATTTTAGAGAAACTTGTTGCTGGTGTTGACGTCGTCCATGCTAAATCTCCAATTAACCTTTTTGTTTTCGCGAGACATGACCAGCACTCTTTCTCATTCTTGAGCGCGAAGAGACTAATATTTCTCCACGAATCTCATCGTGTTTGTGCGTTTTTTTTTTCCTTTTCTGTCTTAGCGACCGATATTTCTGATTATGCTCACAACATGTGTTCATTGGTATCTTACGGAACCCACTAGGTGGACAGAAAGAAAAACAAAATCAACAACTTTTAAACAGCTGATAACACATGACCCTCGAAATATTCACTTGATGGGCATAGCTGTCACCCCGTTTATTTATCAAAACCAACGATTTTCTACGAATGAAGAAAAAAAAATTGGAATATGATAAATTTAAAATCACTCAATTGCTCTTACTCTCACATCCCCTCGGCCCTCAAAAATGTTTGAAGGTTTTTGTATCATGGAGACGAGGCTAGGGGTATGAGCAAACAAGACTCAACAGGAGAGGTGATGGTAAGATGATCGTGAGGGGTCCGGAGAAAGGAACACCAAACATTTTTTGAATGTTAATGGCGGGAAATAACTTTTAGTCATTGTTGTCTAAAGCACGCCATTTACTAGCGCATTAGCAGGATTTAAAAGAGTTAGTAGGGTAAAACACTTTGAAAAATTGGTCTTCGCCATAGCTTCGTAAAAAGCGAGGAATGGCGTCGCAGTTTTCGCTTTCTGAGGAAGGTTTAGCTGTTAAAAGTGGCCGGGAACACATTTTTCCCAGTAACTGTTTGAAAAGGAAACTTGAAGTAAGCGGTTTGAATGAATTTTCTTCAGTGGGTGACCACGATATGTCAGTCGAGCAGGAACATAATCTCAACAGCGAGGTGAGATAATTTTAAAATGAAGTGGAACAGTTGGGTAACTTTGTGTCAAAATTATTTACTAGCGGAGCGCACTAGATTAACCCGAAACTGCGATCGGAATGTTTTTGATCTCCCGAGTTGTTTTAGCTGTTATTACTAAGCCAACAGAGGATAGAAATGATTCATGCACAGGAAGAGAAAAGCGACTGACATCTCTGTGAATGATATGCTGATCCTAATTTCGATTTGATTCCTCTTGTAGAAAAGACAGCGGTTTTCAGTTGACTCCAACGGCCATACAGTCTATCTCTCGAATGTCAAGAAGGACGATAAAATCAATTGCCCCAGTTTTGCTCACAATGGGAACTTAATGGGAATCGATTCTCGGCTTCAAAGTAACATAGAATGTAATACATCGATCGGATGGGAAGGTGTTAGGATGGACTGTGAAAGCGAAAGAGAAAATCCCAATCAATCAGCTTCTTCTTGTAAAGATCGTACCACTTCCGTCTGCCCGCCAAATTTGAACATCAACATTGCTGCTGAAGACATTTCCGTTGAAATTAGTAGCCGAGAGAGTTCACCAACGAAAGGATCACCGGCAAGGGAATTTCTACGGACGTTAGTTTCTTTTATTATTAAATTACATTTGTTAATCTTAAGCTTCAGAATTATTAAGTTTGGTTTTTGCACCGGTATAACTTGCATTCCGTCTTACCCTTTAAACTTCTCGAACGGCAAGGTTTATATAACCCCATGCATTAATGGTGCATTCCATTTCATAAAGACTAAAATATATAAAGGTTTCTTTGCAACACTCTATGTATAATTAATAATGTGGATATATCAACAAAGTCGTTACGGTGGCCAATTTACCATTTCAACTTTGTTGATATATCCAAATTACTTCGTTACTCCCACCGACGTAGCCCCAAACAGTTTCTTTCGAGACTATCAGCCTTTATTCATATGCATAATTAATGTATGGGGTTATATGGAAATCTTTCTAGGAAATGACTGCCAACTGAAGGTCTTGATTGTTAAACAAATTTTCCTTGTCAGAACCTTAGGAAATCAACAGAGAACAGTTTGGAGAATGTGCATACTGATGTTAGGGTGTTAGGTAGAGTGACAAGTACTCATTGATGCTGAGTACTGTTCTGTAGGATATATTTTAGCTTGCTTTATTTTGTTTTTGAAAACATGTGATAAGTATTCAATTCATTTCTGCATCATGTGTTCCCTCCAAGCTACTTACATGTTCTTGAGTGCCTTCCTAGTTTACAAATGTCACACAAAAATCTGCCAAGTTTTACTTATTTTTTTACTTTTAAAGAATCGCAACTCCCCATAACTCAAACTTTCAAGGGTGATTGCCAAAAAAAAAATGAACTGGGCGTCTGCTTTCAAGAGCAGAGAAAAAAAGACATGGTTAGCACAAGCTTGGAGTAAACAAGGATGGGAGTTGTCAGAACACTTTCATTTCTTAACCCTCAAGCTTCCAAAAGTGATGAACATGTAACCTCTCCCTGTAATATCCATACATTATCTAGCACAGGTTTCATTCGCTCTGAGGAAGGGCTAACAGGCCAATTTAAAGTATAAACTCAGTTGAAAAAAAGCAAAATTACCTAGGTGATGAGAATACTTAACCTTATCAGGTAGAAGATGTTATCCTGATCTAACACCAGATTTTCATAACTAATTTTTTAAGAAATATGTATCAGCTAGAGGGTAGAATTAACAATTAGATCTTGGAGGTTAAAGGATCTAAGAAATTTTGAAAATCATCTAGGATATCCGAAGAATAACATGTTTAAAATGCTCTCTGGAATTTTCATTGCTTTTAAGCCACAAGTATATTGATCTCAGGACAAACAAGCATTGAATTAACCTTCTGAATGGCAATGTAGAGGATTTGGACCAGGGTCTAAATGAATGTAGTATTCTTGACAACTCAGTAACAGTCCCTCCCATTTTTCATTCATTTATTTGTTTATTCATTCCTTCATTCATTCATTCAATAGTCCATTTTACAGTTCAGGGCTGTAGTCTAGCAGCACCCGGTGGCTCCTGGCGCCTTACTTTTGCTCAGGGTGACTCAGGAATCTTAGCTTTTTCATAGCAAGCATATGCTGGATGCTGGGCACCCTGGATTTCACAGTTTCAGAGCACTGGGTTCCCTTCAATTTTTCTTAGAGCACAGCCTTGCAGTTGCATGCTTGGTTACCACCTTGTTACGATCCAAATGTTGCTGCTTTTCAAATATGAATTACTTTGTTATCATGCAAACTAGATACTGGTCTCTCTCACAACAAAGTCACCCTCAGCTTTGCTCCAAATCAAATGCTTGGCAACTAAGTACACGATTGTAAAATGGCATATTGTGTGTTTATATATTTTTCAGGTACAGGCCAGAGCACCAAATGTATTGTATCCCATCCTACTGTCATCCAGGAGGATTATGGGATGTTATGCTGGAGGTATATCATGGGCTGTAAATATAAACAGACTTCTACAGCCATGGTAATTGGATAATTGTAAGGTAAGAGAATCCTTCGTTGATAAATGACTTATATGTTACTTTAAGTAGCACTTGTTTTCAGACTGTGTAGTGTTGCAAGACAGTATCCCAACCCCAGTGCAACAATTTCTTTTCATTGACAACACAAACCTTTCTATACAGTAAACAAACAAGGGATTTTGTAGCTTTAATGGTCTATTCTTGTTCTTGCATTTTCAAACATTGGTCTTAGCATCTCACAAATCTTGCATTGTACCATTCGACACCCCTGAAGTGAGGGCTCTGCCCTGGTTGGTAATCTGTGTGGAAGTTAGCCAGTTGTTTGTGCAATCACATGCGATTTTGTACAACACTGAGAGCATGGCTGGCTGGGCTTAGTGACAAGCCCGATGGTATGGTATATCACTCCAAGAAAAGCATGACTTGTTAGAAGCACTAAAAAGTGTCAGTATCAGGGCTTGACAGCTTGACACTAACCGTAGCTAACTAGCCACAGACTAGTAGAAACTCAGTTTCCATTTGCCAGTTTGGCTAGTAAACAAACTGAAATTGTTGTAACATCTGAGTTGTCACAGTCTAGCCACTTGGCCGGTAAGTTGAAAAGTTAGTGTCAAGCTCTGGTTATATTAACTTATAAAATGTGTAGACAAAAACTTGCAGATATTGAATACTCCTTCCTTGCAGATGATACATGGACATAACATGGATAAGAAAAACAAATCGTACTTTGAAGAATTTTATATACACTTACATTGTTATTATGGCAGGTACTACATGTTTATTATATGAAAAGCTTTGAAGGTTTCTGTGCAATTTATTTTTTAGCAAAAAAGGTATGTAAACACTGATTTTATGAATGTGGCCCTGAATGTAACTCCTTAAAATGTGACACAACACGTATGCATATGTGGCAAGGTGTAAGACTGAAATAGGAGATGATTATATGGTGACAGGTTTTTAGGAAAGAGTGTGCTAAGTTTGTGATGTGATGAATGTGGACAGTAGAGTAGAGTTTATCCCATAAGTTTTGTACGTCCTTAATTAATTTACTCAAGACTTAGTTCCCAGAGCCAAAATTATTGGAAATGTGTAGCAGAGAATGTGGACAATCTGATGTTTAAATCTTAGTGGTGAAAGGTTTAAAGGGCCTAATGGTTTAACATGCACACGGTATTACTCTGAACCAGAAAATGAAAACAAACCACTGCTATGGAACAGATTTGCTCAATATTTACTACAAGTACTAATTAAAAGCATAAAGACTCTGGCCGAGAACCACAGTACAGAATTGTGGAGTTTTCTTTCCTGTTTACTCTATTGGAGAGTATTATGTTCTTTCCATTCTTTTCGTTAGTGGGGCATAGAGGCTGTATATAGACAATATACAGTGTATGGACAGTGTACATAGCTTGTGTTAGAATATACAGGTTCTCTTATTTGTTTGTGTTCACATGACACTATAAAAAGGAAAACAGCCATAACAACTGATCTAGGCTGTACTCTGCAATTTCAGAAACAAGGCTCCACATGTCTCCAATGTACATTGTATTTTTTGTACCAGACTTTTTTTTTACTTTTTACAAAATGTTTGCACTCCTTCTACAGTTTCATTCTGTATAAACTGTAAAATATCTCAAAAGTTTTAGACATACAGTCAGACAATGCCTACTGCAAAACTACAATCTGCCCAGGGCTCTACACTAACAGTAGCTAACTAACCACGGACTGGTAGAAATTCAGTTTTGGCTAGTGGTTTTCGATTTCCACAGCTAGTTTGGCAAGTAAACAAACTGAAAATGTTGTTACATCTAAGTTGTCACCAGCCACTTGGCTAGTAAGTTGAAAAGTCAGTGTCGAGCCTTGCTGCCCCCTTTCAAAATTTGTCTGAATCAATTGATTTTGTGCATTTTTTATGGTGAAATTATTTTTCCATTTCTAAATTCTTATTTTTTAAATTATTATTTTGTTAACATTTATAAAAAGGTTTGTAATGTAGTTGTGACTTATAAAGTTAACATACATTGTTTACTAATTCTTTCATGGTGAAAACTCTTGGGTGGTTTTGATTCTTATACAAGTTTCTTTTTTTATCATACAGACATTATACAGGGTAAACTATTTGCCTCATTTTGAAACTTATGTTTTGACACCATTGTACATTTTAAAAGTGTCAATTAAGTTTCCCTGAGCAAATGTTTAGTAGAATTAATTTGCATTATATACAGATCATTTAATAAAGAGTGTGATGCATCACAGAGTTGACTGTTTGTTTGGTAGCTTCTTTCTAATGACAAATATATTTGTATTCTGCTTGTGAAGTACATATATCTTATTAAACATTTCGTTGTGTAGTATCACTAAATATTTTTACAAGGTTGAAAGATACAAGATACAAACAACCAGTAAAAATACTCAGTGATACTGTGCAACAAAATGTTTAATAAGAGGTTTATTATCCAACACAACAAATTGTTATTTCAGTGCTGGAGAATTTTTAACCGGTTCTCTGAAGTACCGCAAAGTATTTGTACAGTTTAGGTGTTATTTGTACTCTATGAAGTACAGTTGAATAATAAGTTGACTTTTTTTCATCCTAGATAATTTCTTTTATCAACTGAATTGACAATGTAAACTAGCCTCCATAGAATTAAGTTTCTAGAGCTTAGGTTACGAGTGTTAACCCTTTTGTCAGAGCAAATGTTCTCTTTCCGCCTGGTATTTGCAAAAAATTTCATTTACTTTTTTTGGCCTCTGCAAACAATTTTTCTTCAATATTTTCAAACTTTCTTGGATTGAAAAAAATATATATATATATTTCTTCTACCCTCTGTTATTTTTAATTTTGTTTTCTACCTGCATGCCATTCTTCAAGCAAAGTAAAGTGGATGTTGTGTTCAAAGTACTTCAAGAAATAAAACAGCTGTTGACATATTTTTAAGTGGCCAATGCTGAAGAAGTTCTGTAGTTGTGAGGCTAACAGAGAGGTTCAAGCCTGGTGGTACATTTTTTTACTTGAAATGAGTTGATTATATTTTGATTCTTAAAAAACGAAAAAAAACTGATTCTTGGTTTTAGTACTTTGATGGGAATGATAAATTTTTTTGCATGTTTGGGTCCCTCCGCCATGCTAATCCACTTTTCATATCCAACCCAATTCAAGTGCCGGTTTGAATAAGGCTGTGGGGATTACTGACCGTACTCTCTAGAGTTACCTACCCCTCCCAGCTCCCTGCCAGTTGCCCTTTTATCCTTGTGGATTGTGGGTAATCATTGGTAATAGTTATTCAAGATGGCAGACGTTAACGCCGTCAACCGGCGTCTTTTGGAGATTTCTATATGTGCTCTGCTGCGCGAACACGGATTTTCATCAGCTTCTAAGATAGCTTTAGAGACCCTTACTGAAATGCTTCAAAGCTGTGAGTGATCATTTGTTTTGTCGATTTTACTGTTAGTTTATGAATCCAGCACTTGCTTTGAGATATCTTGGGATTGCCTTAAAGTATTCTTCAGGGGGAAATGTAGAGAATTTTTCATTATGCTATTCTGTTTTTTTTTTAAACATCACCTTCCACTTCCATTGATCCTTCGATTGATCGGTCCGTGGAAGCATCCAAAGAGAGTTGGTAAACGCTTCCCCTGTGATGATGTTTTGGGTCTGATCGCCCTGATCACAAATGTATTTATTTTGTTTTACCCTCTTCTTTAGACCTGGGTGAGCTTGGACACAGTTGTAAGCTTAGTTGTGAGCTTTCCGCCCGGGTCAAGCCAACTTTAAGTGACGTGAAAGTGGCTTTGATTGACATGGGTATGTATCTCACCTGCCATTCCCTAAATTGCCAAAGACTTGTTATTGTTCCGAGAATTTCCCAAAACTGGCAACGGAAAGCACATGTAATGTTTTAAAATTGAAAAAGTCCATCAATTCAAATCAGGGTGAGGAATAAAGCTTTCACATTAGGCAATAGTTGAAAGGGTTACCTTAAACATTCTAATTCAATTCAATAATTCAATTCTTTGAAGGTGTAGTCTGATCGTCCGGGTGAGTGTAGTCCTGAGAAGGACTGTTGTCGGTGGTAGTGACTGACGTTTCGACAACCTGTGCAGAAGTCATCATCAGAGTCAAGTGAATGATTGTTGTCAGTAGAATGTTCTTATTCCAGTTCGTGTGAAATGATCGGTTGGTTTTGCCGTGATGTTATTGGCTGTAAGACTCAAGTGACGTAAGTCGGTCGTGATTGGTCTGTTTCGATCTGTCGGTAAAGTTAGGTCGTTCTTTTTCGGTCGTTTGTGATGTTTATGTCGTGAATGAGTCGTTTGTATGGAGCGGGTAGTTGTTGACATCTGTTTAGGGGAGTCTGTTCTAAGTTAGTAAACCAGCTTTCCAGAGTCAGTCGTTGAAAATAGTCAGTGCTGTAGGTTAGGCATTGCGCAGAGTCCCAGTCAATGTTGTGGTTGGTAAGTCGATGGTGTTCAGCAATGTGATTGCTGACATCACCTTTCCTCGTCGCCCGTCTGTGTTCAGTCAGTCTTGTTGTGAGGTTTCTGCCAGTCTCACCGATGTAGGAGGCTTGGCAGTCGGAACAATTGATCTTATAAATCGTTCCCTGTCTGTTCCTCGGTTCGTCTTTGTCTTTAACGTTGGTTAGTAACTGACGTAGTGTGGTGATGGGTTTGTGGGCGACGCGGATATTGAAGGGTAGTAAGATGCGCGAGATGTTTTCAGACATGCCTTTTATGTACGGTATGGTTGNAATATATATATATATATATATATATATATATATATATAGGAAGTCTGCAAGTCGATTTTCGCGTGGAACAGTGCTCAATACGTTGAAGCAGAGCAGAATAAATATTATGAGAGGAAAAAAGGACGTAACTACATTTCCCGACAAGCCTGTTTCGTGAATCGCTTCACTCTTCAGGGGTTTAATGAAAGAATATTCATGTGACTATCGTTTATATACTAGGCAGATTTGACTATTCTATCTCATGGCGCATCTTATCATCTAACTCTCCCTACAACAGCTCCAATAAAAGATGCAACCTCTGCCTAAAAGAAAAATTCCTGATAATTTACCGACCCGACCTCTCATCACTAAATAAGCGTAACGAACTCGTATCTTCATGCCGACACAGAAACAAAGCGTTGCTACGCAACAACTGAACTTTAAAGTTTTTAAGTTTACCGCGCATTATGCAAATCTTCCTAGTATATAAACGATAGTCACATGAATATTCTTTCATTAAACCCCTGAAGAGTGAAGCGATTCACGAAACAGGCTTGTCGGGAAATGTAGTTACGTCCTTTTTTCCTCTCATAATATTTATTCTGCTCTGCTATAACGTATTGAGCACTGTTCCACGCGAAAATCGACTTGCAGACTTCCTATATATATATATATATATATATATTGGATAAGGAAATACCAGACAAGGTTTATTCGATTAGTGTAAGGTAAACCACAGAGTTGTCATCAGAAGCTGTTAGGCAGCAGAAACACACCAGTTGACAGACTATTTTGCACAAGCTACCTTGTGAAATGTAATCAAAGACAGAAGATTAGTATTTTTGAACTGATTTTGACATCATTGTCTGGCTCAGAAAGAAGTTACAGACTGTATCCAAAATTTGGTATGTTCATTAATCTTGGAAATAATGTCTTAATTTTTGCTGGGGGAGCATGCCAGGACTCCCCTGGAAGGGCTTGTTGCAAGACTGATTTAGAAAATAAATAGACACATGCAAAAGCTGTATTTAAAATAATGTGTCATTCTTCTAGTTGAAATTTGAAAATAGCATGAAACCTTGGTTGGAGAAGCTTAGTTATTTCTCTCTCTTTTACAAGTTCTGTTTAAAAAAAAAAAAAGAAAAGAAACAAAAACATCTTGCTGATGTGGGATTTGTTTTGCTGACTTGCAGGCCTTCAGACAGTCAAGCAAAGAATACCAAGCTGTAAGAGAGAAATATGCTGCACAGAGAAAAGACATTGAAGAAGGGTTATCCAAGTAAGTCAGAAATTATGATCTCTCTTCCATTCTACCTATAATTGTAAGCTTTGCTGTAACCACTATTTTCGACTCAACAGGTTTTTGGCAAAGACAGCTGAACTTAGTTCTGGGATTTGTGAAGGACTGGATGCACCAACATATCCTTGTGAGTTCTATGGAATTATATATTTTTGTGATATGATAAGCAGAATTATGGTTACATTTTTAATATTTCTTACTAATGATCTATTGGAGGATACATGTAGATAATAATAAAGATGAAGTCACCATCGATAAGATTTTACATTTTATTTGTATGAAACAAATAGATTTCTTGTTGCGACGGGTCTATTCCACAATAGATCCCAGAAGACGTCAAAATGTCCTAAAAACGTCAATGACACACTCAGCTATGTCTGCCATCTTTTCTTACTACCACATTTTGACAGCATCTGTGATCTATTATGCACTGCAACAAGGAATCTATTTGTTAACCGTCTCACAACCTTTTTGAATTTTTCTTCATGGATACTCACACACTTTCTTCCCTGCTTCAGTTCACCTGGACAAAATGCGCTTTAAAGTTTTCAGTTGTAGATATCACTGCTAACATTCTATTTCATTTCTGAATGTTTCCTCTTGGATTTTTTTTTTTTTTTTCATTATTTTGGGGGTGAAAATGGGTTAAAGAACTAGGTAAGTGGATAATCAATGGATAATCACAGACATCAGTGGGTAAACTATGGATAAATGAGAGATCTAGTTTTCATAAAACTCAGTATTGTATTCAGTAATTCATTGTTATTGACTCATTAAATAATGGAAATGCTCAAAAAGTAATCTGTGGATTACTCATTGACTTCCCAGTGACTGTAGACAAATGAAGTTTTTCTCCCTAAACCCCTCTTTATCCCAAGATCTTAATAAGAATTCTCCTTACCGTCTGCCACACAGCCAAGCCTTCTGATACGTGCGATGAAAAAATGTAAATTGCGCGATTTTTTCCAGCGAATTGTACGATAAAAATCGGTTATTATGCGATTTTTATGCAAATTTTGCCATTGTTTTTGAGCTATTTTAAGTTTGTTTTATTAGGTTTTAAAGACAGAAAACATTTTTTTGACAATTCGGAAGACGTGAAAGCCATCTTCTACGGCTTCTTATTGAGCTTGTGCAGATATTTTGCAATTTAAACCGTTTTTTAGCGTGTGCGCTTCGACCAGAACGCCATGTTGGACGCACGGCCAAGGTCTTGGCCGCGCGCGTCCAACATGGCGTCTATGAAGAACTCGTCATTTATTATGTTCTAATTACCTACTAAGTTAATAACTGTGAAGTATAATATTAACAGCTCCAATTTATTTACTCTTTTTCCTCTTCCGGAGGTCTTTAATCAGTGAGAAGTTGTGGGTAACTGTTGTTTATATCGAAAGCGTGGAGTGTCGCGCATGCGCAGCAAATCGCGCGCGCGAGTCTTTTAGTGTCGTCACAAACGAAATCATGATCAGTTAGATTCGATTGTCTCGGTGAGTGCGTTATTTCTTTCCTGGTTGTAATTACACCAGTGGTAGACGCTCATGTTTAGCCTGAGTGAGATGAAGAAATTCAGTGATCTTTATTCAGAGAACAAGGGAGCCAAACCGCACACGGATCCTTCGTTTGTACAATCAGCGAACGTCTCAGGAGAAGGCTTCGAAACAAGAGTGCGGCGTCCAAAACGAACGCTACATAAAGAAAAAAACCGTCAACTCAGAAAAATTGTTCAAGTAACCAACGACATAATGAATGACATGAAGATATTAAGGGAAAAAATGAACAAGGATTTTAGGGAACACATGAGCACATCGAGTGTTAAACGAAGGAGCATGCGTATGGATATAAGAGAGCCGTCGTCGATGGCGCATCCACCAGTTGAAGAACTTGTATTGAGAAATTATAGTGCTATTTTTGCTGAAGAAACTGCATTAAGATCGAATGAAGTTTTTCAAGAGGTGTATTTTGGAAAAACTGTCAACAGTTGCCTTACTGATGATGGTAGCAGGTGGGACTACTTTGGGAACTTAAGTCTTGCTTCAGCTGCTAAAGACTCGATGATGGAACCAGGCTCCGGGGAATTCGATTCTGTAGATAGAACCAAAGATTGTTATTTGTCTTGCTTTGTAAACCTCGCGATAAACACGCTGGTTCATGCGGTGCAGAATCTTAAAGATTATTTTCGCCGCGAGTGGAACCTCTTTAACGACATATGTGAACAGGAATGCTCTGAAGTGTCGTCGCATGTAGAGCCCGCTTTCATCGCTTCTATCAAAGGAGAAGACACATGCACAGATCGTTACTTACCCAGGAGTCATTTGGGCTCAAATGATTTGAATGGAAATTTAACTCGTCATGACAACAAGAAAATTGTCACTTGTCATTCTTCAGGCGTGACTTGTATTCGATGATTAAAAAGTTATTTCATTACTTTTGTATGATTCGATTCATGAGGATTATTTTTCTTGTTGTCAATTTGGTCTAATACAATACTTTGGATATATCAACAAAGTTGAAGTGGTAAAATGGCCACCGTAACGATTACAAAAGCTGACGTTTTGAGCGTTAGCCCTTCGTCGTCGCTCCGACGAAGGGCTAACGCTCGAAACGTCAGCTTTTGTAAACGTTACGGTGCAATTTACCATTTCAACTTTGTTGATATATCCAAATTATTTCGTTACTCCCACCGACGCAGCCCCAAACAGTTTCTTTCGAAACTATCAGCCTTTATCTCTAATACAATACTATTGGTTAAAAAAATGTATGCTATACCGTTTATTACTTCATATTTAGCAGCCCACATAGGTAACAATTTCCCAATCACCACAGTTAAATTAGGTGCGGAGTTTGTCACTTTACATTCAGTAGCAGTGGTAACATGCTCTCTTTTAAGGTATCAAAAGTATTTACCTTTCCCTTTTTTCCCTTTCTGTGTTTTCTCTCTGATGCTTTTAATTTCCTGTCCTTCGATTCCCCGTTTTTGTCCTTAAACTATTCTTCCCATCTGTTCCGGTCCACCCCGTTTGTTTGTTAGTTTGCCTCTGCAGTTGACTGCTGGGTGACAAACGCCGTATTTCGTTTAATTTGAAGCGCATAGTAGGGGCTGGATCTCTGCAACTACAATGGTAACAGAAACGTATCTGTAAATAAACGAGCAGTTTTCTTGCAAATCTTACGCACTCATAAAGCCAGAAAGCAGTTGCCTATTACTGAAAGATGAAGGCTGCACAGAAGATTGACTCGCATTGCACTGCCAGAGTATTGGTACATGTACTTCTGCTGCACTTGCTGGATGGAATGCTGATTCATCAGCGGAAGGCTTCCTCAGGATCTCGTAAAATTTCGTTGATACCCTTTTAAACTCCTTGGTGTGAAGGAAAATATCCTGTGAAGGATCACAACGACACAAAACCCTTGTTTAGGGCTTGAACCTAAAGCTTGTTTCTCGAAAGTTCCGGTTGTGAGCGGTTCAGAAATAGCGTTATATTTTGTTGTTGTTGTTGTTGTTGTTGTTGTTGTTGTTGTTCGTCGCGTTCACATTCTCTATATTAATAGTTTTAGCTTTAAAAAATGAAAATATCAGGAGGTAAAATAAAATGGACTGGTTTTTGAGCTGGTATCCGCCCTTCTGCGACTTATATTTACTCTATTTTAAGATATGGCTTCAGGCCCGCAGAGTTAGCGAGACTTTCAATTAAAAGACCCCGGAATTTTTCAATTTGAAGTTTCGTCCACTCTCTAGAAGGCCACCACGTCTTTCTGTTGTATTTATATGTATCACCACTTACGCGTACCTCTGTCTGTTTTTCTTTGCTTCAGTACTTGTGAACGAGTCCAGTGATCTGCCATATTTATCTGCGCTTGGAGACTTCGACGACGCAGAGCTACTTGAACTTGATGAAACCGTCGCCAAAGAGACACCGTCAAATAGTGTTTTACCAACAAGCTCACAGAACACGGAATCCTTCGATAACCCTTTCCTCAGACCCGCCAAACGAGCGCGAAAAACTATCAAGCCAAGCTGAAGCCTGTTAAAAAAGCTTTGATCAATTCTCGCTGGCGTCAACTTCACGTTTTAGAATAGTCAGAAACGGAATATAAATTATTCTTTATTCTTGTTCTTGTATTCGTCTAAGCATCGGCTCCAAGATACGTCTCCTTGCTAGAAAATCATATGAAATTAGTCATGTTTTAAAACCCACATGGAGACGAATTTTTAACATAGACAAGGAATAGTACATCTTTTTAATCGTCTTTTTGTTGTCACCTGTGTTTTCTTGCGTTAGTTATCCTTGTCCGCTTTCGCCTCACTTCCAGGTAGAGATGGATTCATCAGTCCCAGTTTGAGTATCCATAAACCGTAAGAGACACTAGCATCTAATTCCTCCTTACAATACCCCCCCTGGATCCTACATGAAGATCAGGAAATAAAGGGAATGATCACCAACTGAAGACGCTCTTGATTATCAAAGAAATTCTCCCAGTCAGCACCTTAAGAAATTTTAGGGAGAATATCCATACTGATGTGGGGGTGAAAGGACTAATAATTTCACTTTTGACCTCATAGGCATCCCATCCATTCTATTAGAATTATCTAAACATCAAAGATAATACAGCTCTTTCCTACCTTCACCGATGTTCTGATGACAAGGAGAGACAAAAAAAAAAATGCGAATTTGGTTTAAAATGTTTTTTTTTTTCCCCAGTCTTTTCGCCAACCTCTTCGGTGAAACTTTTGAGAATATATATATATGAATGAGCTGGAAGAGCTTTTCGGATATCTGAAAATGATGGTTTCTTGACCCTGTCATTAAAACCATTAAGCCACGGTGTCTTAAAGCTATAGTGTACAATTTTTCCTGTTAAAAGCTCAAAAGCATATGGTAAACTAACAGGATACCCACGCTTGAATAAGCCTTGTGTTCGAAAGATCTCAATTTTTCTTTTTCCCTGCTTTCGTTTCTTTTCAAAGATTTCTATAAACGCTTCAATTTTCTTTCGCTGCTTATTTTGCGAGACAACGGTTTTCTAATGGTTTTCTCTGGAAATTTGCGCGGGTAACATTGGCGCGCCGCCGGCCCGAAATGATCACCTCGCTCACGCCCGACAGCTCGTAACCAGCGATTTGACTACACGACCAAACCCCCTTTAAGTTTTTTTCAAACAAAGTGGGACGCGATAAACTGACGCACAGGGGACAGCTACAAATTTATTTGTTTTTTGTTTTGTTTTGTTTTTCATGGGTTTTTCTGCGTCAGAAAGAGAAACTCGCAATTCATCGAAAAACACGACTTTCTTAACTCTTACTTTCTTTTTTTCCTATAAGTTTTTGAAACAAACCCGTGATAGGGCAGGGTCAGACGGCTTTTTCTTGCATGGATCTCTGTAAAACGCGGACCGGATAGATGCAGATGGCGGATGCGGATAGAAAAATGCGGATGAAAAATTGCGGATGGAAAAATGCGGATAGAAAAAAAAAACCCATTAAACATGTCGTTACAGTAAAAAAGGGGGTTGACAGGSC